TTATTGGGCCAAGAACGTCATTTTTACAAAAAGTGGGCTTTTTATATCAATTTTGTAAATAATCGCGCTAAAATAAACAGAACAATAACAAACGGGTTAAAAACGATTTTCTTATCCTTACTGGGCCTGGAAATAGTATACATGTTTAGTGGGCCTTAGTGTCCTTTTACATGTATATTGGGCTCAGGGTAGACATTCACATTCCTTTGTGCCTGAAAATAATAGATACGTATAGTGGGCCTTAGTGGTCCACTTACACGTTTATTGGGCCTGGGAATGAGTTTTATATGTGTTCTTCTTTCTTTTCCGTGTAAATTTTCGATTAAGGATCTAGTGAGACCTGTCGGTTGGCACCTTTGAGTGTACAATCGTAGCCTGTAGTTATAACCAGAGTTTCCTGAAAGGAAAACGGGAGTTTGTGTATAGATCTATACGGGGGTGACACCCCACACCTGAGCTGTTCGCTACAGTTAGACTAGGCCAGTCTAGGGTGACAAAAACCTTATTCTATTCCGGCGGCGTCCCAAAGATGCAAAGACAGGCGAAATTGTCATTATTATGTATGGTTATAGCGACTCACTTAGAGGAATTAACGTTATAAGATTTACAGGAAACCATTCTATTTTCTTTTTGGGATAAAACATGAAACCATTCTATTTTCTTTTTGGGATAAAACAGGAAACAATTCTATTTTCTTTTTGGAATAAAACAGGAAACCATTTTATTTTCTTTTTGGGATAAAACAGGAAACCATTCTATTTTCTTTTTGGAATAAAACGGGAAACCTTCTTTTTGATAAAACGACAATCTATAAGCATCGGTACTCAACCACTGGGGTTGAGATTTCAGCATTATCTATTGCAGACAACATCGGGTTGTCTGGAAATCATTCTCTTTCTATTTTGTAACCATTAACACACATGCATTAATATAAGATCGGACACAAATATTTCAAACCATTTCTTTTTAGAAAGTATCGGATATTTTTGAAAGCACTTTGAAAACGATTCTAAACAAGTACAAAAACCATTTTTATTTAAAACTGCTTATGAACTCACCAACTTTTTTAGTTGACGCTTTTCAAAACGACTTGTATTCTCAGGAATTCCAGTAGCAGGTAATAAGTTCGACTATAAGATCAAGTGGTGCGACTTCAAGAAATTTTACTTTCTTACTTTTGTGTAACTGATGAACAAGATTCAATATGTAAACTATGTAAGTGTGTATTTCCAATGTATGATGTTTGGTTGCTATGTTTCATTCATATTCAATTGTTATGATACTATACACGAAGTCATCCGCCCCCGGACGTTTCCGCCGTCCAGGTTCGGGGGTGTAACAGGTACTCCATAAACCGACTAGTCAACCCCTGGTCAAAGTCAAAGTCCTCAGTCAAGGTCAACAGTCCATGTTGACCTTAACTCGCCGAGTACCCTCAACTACTCGCCGAGTTCCTTGAAGTTATTTCCCAGTCGCCGAGTCACCGGGGTGACTCGTCGAGTTCCTACGATTTTCAATCGAAACTCTAAGGCCACCCGCCGAGTTTCCTTCTTGCAACACGACGGATACACACACATTCATAACTTGGGGAAAACTCATCCGACTCGTCGAGTTGTTCATACAACTCGTCGAGTCTATGACAATCTTCATAGGACTCGCCGAGTTTCTCATCCAACTCGTCGAGCTCAAGGGCATCTTCATACGACTCGCCGAGTCAACCTTGTGACTCGCCGAGTCCCTTCAGTCCTTAAGCCATACAGACTCATTTAAGCCATGCAATGGCTCCAAATTACAGATCCAAGCTTCTAGGGCATGCTTTTCACGTAAAGTTGCAAACTTTACGTGCATGCATGACTATTAAGGCTCTTAATGCCAAAACTAAGCTCTTAATGGGGCTTCATGCACAAGGAGGGCCTCATTCTCGACCAAAACAGAAACTTTATGATTCTAGAACTTAAGAAGGGTCCAGATCTGAAGTTACAACTTCAGATCTAGTCCATAGCCCATCTTATCAACTCAAGGTCCATAAAAAGCCCCCAAAACTCAACCACAAAGAGATCTAAAAGGGAAAGAAGTAGAAGGCAATTGGATACCTCAAGAAGATGCTAACTGAGGTATGATCTGATTCCCACACTTCCTTGCTCCAATTTCCTTGCCTTCCAAGCCTTTCCTCCTCCAAGAATCTTCTTTCCAAGCTTAACACACACACAAATAGGCACCACACGAATTAGGGTTTTCTTAGGAACTATCCAGAACTGTAAAGAGACCAAAGGAGGCTGAGGCTCCTTTAAATAGGGTGCAAGACCTCGGGATTTAGGGTTTCATTTTCCAACTCCTACACGTCGAGTCCCTTCATGGACTCGGCGAGTAGGTCACTAAACACGCGATCCCACCCCCACTGCTACTCGACGAGTAGGACATAAAACCAAATAACCTCTTATTTAAATCCATACCTGAGAATCGGGGCGTTACAACATGTAGACAAAAAACAACTTAAATGATGAAATATAGACGGAAAAAAAAAAAAAAAAACTTAATCAATCAAATATGTATAAACAAAAGGATTTTATAACATGTGCCCTAAGGGCACACATAAGAAGCATTAATTGAACTATTAATTATGACAAATATTACCATAGTTAAATATGAAATTCATTAATTATAGAAAATATTTTTCATAATTAATACATTTCACACTTAATTATGGTAATATTTCCCATAATTAATAGCTCTTACGTGTGTCTTAGGACACATATTAAAAAATCCCATAAAAAATATATATATTACTCTTTAAAAAAAATCATTATCTCTTTCAAAAATAAAACATAACAAAAAAATCATTATCTCTTTCAAAAATAAAACATAACAAAAATAACGGAGAAGATACAAGTATAGAAGCGCCGTCACTTTTTTTTTTTTCTTGGCGGCTGTGCTCTAGTTAATACATATGGGCTGCCACTTATTTTTGTTGTTTGTGCATTAAGTGTTAATCTCCCATCGGCCCAGCCCCAAAATATTCCTACCTTCATGGCTTCATCATTCTTCTTGAATTGGGCTGCCAAATTACACCTTTTTTTGGGGGGACTAAATGGGCCGCTGAATTCCATGTTGCTGTTAACGAGCCCAAAAACAGGATCAAACGTAATCCAAATCCACTCATTTTTTGTGAGATCGAAGATCATAGAGTTATGAAGACGCTCGTAAAATTTATGCTCAATCGGACAACATTTGCCTCTCCCTCTGCTCGCTTGAAGAAAATCGTGCAATGTTGTCAAAAAATCCGAAAATTTATTTATATCGCTTTGTTTTTTCTTGTCGCTTACGGATATTATTACAACACTTCAATATTAGCTGCAAGGCCTTTGATGTGTCTTCTATTGATGCTCAAAAACTCCATATTGTTCGTACAAATCTACACAAAATTAGCTTAAACGAGTAAAAATATCCAAAACAATAGATCTAATGATTTAATGCAAAAAAGAATATTAAAAATCCTCAAATTAAAATCAAATGCATACTAAAATTAATACGAAAATCAAGTTATCAATCATATTGCATAATATGATTTTAGAAGAGGAAGGAAAAACGATTTGCCACTATAATAAAAAAATTACCAATATTCGAAGGAGTAGGCATTAGTACGCAAAAATATATGGTGAACAGAGGGGAAGTACATGAACACACTGATCACCACAACCTTCGCGCTAATTTGGTGGGACATATCTTCAATACTCATTTAAATCATGTTGTCGGCAATTCGTACACCGATTTGTTCGAAGATATGGATGACGATGAGGCGTGACGTACTATTTTATTTTATTATGTTTTAGTTTTGTCTAAATTTTAATTATGTTTTTTCAATTAATGAAATATTTTCCTTTTTATTAATTTTATATAATCATAAAATTATATTTTAATATATTTAATTAAATGAAAAGGGAAAAATAAGTAAGATTGAGTGAAATGTGACCATTACCCTTATAAATGACTGAGCGAGGAAAAATAACGTGACAATGCGGTAACAAAAATGAAGTGGGAGATAGTGAAAATGTACACCCGTGGCTTAAATAAGTAGAAGGATGAAGTGAGAGACGGTTAAAGAATACACGCTTAGCCTAAATAGGTAGAAGAATGAATTAAAATTTTAAGAGAAGACATTAAAAAGAAATTTTATTTTTCCTAAGTTGATTAAACTCTTAACCAATTTAACCTTTTAAATATTTTAGAAAAGAAAAGTAAACAAAAACGGAACCCTACCTAAGTGGTTGACCCAACATGACCGATGGAAGCTAGTTAGAATCTTGAAAATAACTAACAGGGTTTTGAACCAAAGAATCTTCCTAACTTTCTCCTCCCATTTTCTTGTTGCATTCATTTTGTCCAAACCTCGCCTTGTTCCACAAAATGCATTTTTGTCACATCACACCATAGAAATTACCCCAACTTTATATTTTATGTTGTCCTATATACATTTTGTCGAATCTAACCCAATTTTAGACCCCCATAAAAAATCGATTATTATCGTATAATTTTTTTATAACAATGATTTAATTTATGTATGAAATGAAAAAAAAAAAAAAAGATTTAGCATGCGTTTTCCACATTGAAACAACCATTGTACAACCTTGCAATAAGAGGGTCTATGGGATGAATAGTGGAATTTCATACAAATTGTATAAAATTTGAACCCTAACACATCTAAAATAGGAGTATTAATATTCTACGATTGACCTTTGGTGTAATTTAATCTCACGTGAATTTTAGAACGTATTAACATGTGCAACTAAAATAATACACGATTTACCATTATTTTATAATAACTTATACATAAATTATTTAGAGAACATACTAAAAAGTAAAAAAGTAAAACCCTCGAATAACTTGTACATCATACATGTAAAGTTGTACATTCCTCAATATTTACAATAATTGCTTGTATAAATACTCCAACTTTGTAGCAAACTAAGATGACAGCCATGTACAGGTTTTTCGGTTATAGCATGTTTTTCTTCCTCTCTCTCCTCCAATGTGTATTTCCCGCCAGAACCGTTCCTCCGACATCACCACCAGAATTAACAGTCAAAGACCTCTCAAATAACGACACGTGGAAGAGCTTCTCCAAGTTCATGAACGCCGACAAGGGTGCTAACTTCTCCGGCATGTCTGAGCTCAAGAAATACTTCCACCGATTTGGCTACATCACCGTCATCGACAACTTTACCGACAACTTCGACGAAACCCTTGAAACCGCCATCTTAAACTACCAGAAAAAGTTGGGGTTGCCGATCACCGGGAAACTGGACTCCGACACTGTCACTCAGATCATGTCGCCGCGGTGTGGCGTCTCCGACGGAGACATTCCAAACCGGAAACATAAATTCCACGTGACTAAACATTACGCGTTCTTTCCCGGTGAGCCGAGGTGGAAGAAACCGGCGAAGTCGGAGACAATGACGCTAACGTACGCTTTTTCCGACACCCATATGATTGATTACATTAGTTACTTCGACATACGAGATGTTTTCCAGCGTTCTTTTTCAAGGTGGGCGTCTACGATCCCTGTGAGCTTCAAGGAGGTAGACGATTACCGAAAAGCAGACATAAAAATAGCTTTTTATCAAGGGGATCACGGCGACGGAGTGTCGTTTGACGGCGTTTTAGGGGTGTTGGCGCACGCTTTCTCGCCGGAAAACGGTAGGCTCCATTTAGACAAAGCTGAAACGTGGGCCGTTGATTTCAAATCAAGTAAATCAAATGTGGCCGTTGATTTGGAGTCGGTTGCAACCCATGAAATTGGGCATATACTCGGGTTGGCCCATTCGTCGGTTCAGGAGGCGATTATGTATCCAAGTTTGGGTCCGAGAACTAAAAAAGTGGATCTTAAAATTGATGATGTAAAGGGGATCCAGGAGCTATACGGGTCAAACCCGGATTTTAGGTATACTCCATCCATGGAATCGGATATTTCGTATGTTATCCGAACCCGGATAGGAAATTGGATCAAGTGGGTGATTTCATTGGTGTTATTTGTGGGTTTTTTACTTTGATGACAAATTTAATTTATTCTTTTCTTCTTTTCCTAATTTTATAAATCATATTTAGAATCTTGAAAATAACTAACAAGGTTTTGAACCAAAGAATCTTCCCAACTTTCTCCTCCCATTTTCTTGTTGCATTCATTCTGTCCAAACCTCGCCTTCATTTCACATCAAAACTTAGAATTACCCCAACTTTATATATTATGTTGTCCTATACACATTTTGTATAATCTAACCCAATTTTAGATACCAATAAAAAATCTATTATTATCGTATAATATTTTTCTTTTATATAATAATGAATTTATAAAACATATTTAGATATTTTATTATTTTTGGACAATATAAATTTATAAAATAGATTTATGGAAAGGATGTATGTTTTTTTGTCACCTTATCGCCTTATCATAGAACTAGTGTGCATCAAATATATATATAGAAATATAAAGATTTTAATTTTTCAATAAAGTGTAGATATGTAAAGATTTTAATTTGTCAAAAATGTCTGCTTGGCGATTGAAAAGTGAAAACAACTTTTTATTTATAAATAAACTCTTTTTTTTCTTCAAATTGATGGCGGTTTAGAACTTTATTACTATTACTTGTCATTCTAAATTTTCATTTCATTATTTAAATAAGGCATGTTATATATGTTTTCACGACATAATCTAAAAAAACATGTAAAATAACAACAAATAATGAAGATGAAATGAACCAAACCATCATAGGCTGGAACTCTGTAATGAATGATTGAAAATAATTGTAGTTGCATAATAACTATCTATCATCATTATCCATCAAGGTTCGTTAGATACCCTTATGGGCCATATCATTTTTTCTATATTATATCGCAAGAACCAACTCTCATAAGGTGAAGGACACTTTATCATCCCACTGATAACTAACAAGATAGACACGACTCTCAACATCTTCGTTTGCCTAAATCAACAATTCAACATGCCCTCCCACCCATATATGTCACTTTGTATAACATAAGGACCCTCGACATCACATGTGTAACTTAGTTGCCCAATCAGGCAATCATCATATTAAGGTTGTCCTAAACTACATGCACGTATGCAACGTATATAAGTAACACTGATTCTTAACATCATATATAGTGCATCGTTTGTTGTTAACCATACAAGAGTTTACTAAAAATATCAAAACTACGCGGGCATCCTCATTCCGACCACCACTACTCCTTATGCCTTCATCATGTTGATGATTTTGGTGTCGCCATGTCATTTTATGTAATTGGAACTAACATGTGAGCTAAGAGGCTTCATAATTTATACTCTAATATATGTACGGGTACGTGCGGAGTGCACACATGTATAAGATCGAATTAGAAGTCGGTTCGACGACAAGTCGGGGGTCCGGGGGCAGCCCCCCTGGGTTCGGGGTTTCTAAAGGGGCAGCGCCCCTTTGGCGGGGGTCTAGGGGTTGCGCCCTTAGCGGGGTCCAAGGGGCAGAGCCCTTGGCTGGGGTCCCGCTTGCTTACATATGAGAACATAGTGGGAAAATCGAATTCTTGAGGGTGATTATGGTAAAACTGACAAAATTCGTCAGTTTTACAAACCATTGATTTCCTCATTGAATTCCGGATTTCCCTGACTTGTTTCCAAAGCAACCCATGACGGTCAACCCTAAGAGGCAAACCCTAAATCTCGTTTAATATAAAAACGACTATTCTCTTTGAGAAGAGATACACAACTATTGGCTCTCTTTTCTTCAGACGAACATAGAATCTTTCTAGCAATTTGGCTTACGATTTCTGTGCCTAGATTCGTAAATGTTCTCTTAGATTATCATAGGTTGAATTTCTTGCAACTCAAGCATAAGGTAGAAATATTAGTTCGGAAAGTGTTCAAACGATCCAAGGGTATCTAGATCTCCAACATAAACCCTAATTCCTCCAACCAGAGGCGATCCTACATGTATCTTAAGGGTGTCCTTGGACACCCCTAATTTTGAAATTTTATATACATGGCATATGGTAAATATGAGGGGACACCTGTGGGAATCACAAATTGGACACCCTTTGGCCTTTGGACACGAAACAAAAACGAATACAAAATTTTAATATTTAAAATTTGTCAATAATAATCTATTTCTAGCTCTTAAAAGTTAAAACTTATAAAAGATTTAGGAACACTGATTGAAGAGGCGGTTACAATACCAAATCTTTTCTATAAATATAACGAAAAAGATAAATCATTAAAACTTAATATAACTTCCGGGGAAATATAAAAGATTTAGGAAAAGTGACCTTGAAAACCTAAAAAAATTACAAATCTTGGTGTCAATGGGCACTGCCTTCTCTCTGTCGTCGCCTGCAATACATCTCTGTAGATCGAATCCATCTTCTCCAAGACCCCTTCAAACTCATTTGCATAGTCGCACTCCATCTTCAGAACTTCGACTCCTCTAATTTGATTTTTGGAGGTAACTCTCTTTCTCTTTCTTCGGTTCATGTGAGTTTGGTCCTTTGTGGAAGCAATATAAATTTTAATTTGTATGTAAAAAGTCAAAACCTAGAAACCAGTAATTAACCATAGGTCATAGCATCCATAGCATCCATCATGTGTAGCAACACATACATATTATCATGAACAGTAACCCATGCGTGGCGGTACAATAAATAGTTATTAGTTTCTAACTTTTTTTTTATCTTTTTAAAAATATTCTTTGTTATTATATATATATATATATATATATATATATATTATATATATATATATATATATATATATATATATTATATATATATATATATTTGAGGTGTTAAAGTGGACACCCGTTAGTTTGATTTCTAGATTCGTCACTGCCTCCAACACATCACATAATGCATAATTAGAAACATTTTCCTCAATTGATCACAAAATGTAATGGATACAACTATACAATAGATAATCTTGCACCATATATATATATATATTATATATATATATATATATATATATATATATATATATATATATAAATAAAAGCACATTGAAGTTAGCAATAGTAACCTTTAGTGTCTTTAGGTTTTTGCTACAATTCTTTAGTCACTTTGACATTTTTGACCTTACAGTCAAAACTTTTACATTTTGGCATAAATACACAAAAAAAAACCTTTAGGTTTTTACCATAATTCTTTAGCCATTTTAACAGTTTTGGTCCTTGCAGTCAAAACTTTTACATTTTGGCATAAAAATACAAAAAATGTTTAGGTTTTTGCCACAATTCTTTAGCCACTTTGACACTTTTGGTCCTTACAGCAAAAACTTTTATATTTTTGCATAAAAAGCACAAAAAAGGTATCAGGGTGAAGTCCAGGCTTTCCTCCTAGTTCAAATTAACACGTACGAACTATGTCGCCCCCGAAAAATACAAGGATATAGCCCATAGCAAATACATGTGCTGAAAAAGTAAAAGTTCTATGCAAAGTTCTTTAAATATGCTTTATGGATCCGATAAGTACATTTCTCTTTGTTATTCAAAGTGATACTAAGGCTAACCTAATGAAATTTAATGTGTTTTATGAAAAGGGAAACGCTAAAAAGTCATATAATTCTCATATCATGTTGTTATTAAATGCACTATCGATAAGCAGACCACATCGTTTGAGGAGTTAAATAAACGATTCTATGAAGAGTCACTTCTCACTTCTCTTGGGGGAAATATGACTTTATAATTTTTATTTGGAGTTGGATTTGGTTGAGTCCTCACTCAACAAAATAATGTCATATTACACATATCACGACAATCGAAGATTCACAAATTGAATTATTTGGAATTGGCAATGTGGTATTCATATCAAAACAGTCCCTAACCCTGTGATAGACGCATCACAATACACCACCAAATCATCCAACCCGTCGGGTAGTGCTAAATTCGGGGCCTCACATAACCTCTGTCTCAAGGTCTCGAAAGCCAATTGCTGATCCGGGCCCCACCGAAAAGTCACATTCTTCTTGGTCAAGCGAGTCAAAGGTACGACGATCCTGGAGAAATCCCGTATAAATATTCGGTAATACCCTTCTAGGCCCAAGAAGCTACGGATCTCAGATGCATTCTTCGGTATTTACCATCGCATCACTGCCTCAATCTTGGCTGGATCAACCAAAATACCCTATTGGTTGATGATGTGCCCCAAAAACTGCACGTCCCGCAACCAGAAATCATACTTTGAGAACTTGACATAAAGCTTTTCCGTTCTCAGTGTCTCCAACACCTCACTCAAATGCTGCTCGTGCTGCTCCTTGGTCTTAGAATAGACCAACATATCATCGATAAAAACGATCACAGAACGATCCAATATCGGTCTACACACCCTGCTCATGAGATCCATGAACGCTAGTGGGGCATTGGTGAGCCCGAATGACATCACAACAAACTCATAGTGACCGTACCGAGTCCTGAAAGCTGTTTTCAGTATATCCTCATCCCTAATCCTCATCTGATGGTACCCCGACCACAGATCAATCTTGGAAAACCAAGATGCACCCTGAAGCTGATCAAACAAATCATCGATCCTCGAAAGTGGATAACGGTTTTTCACCGTTAGCTTGTTCAGCTCCCCGGTAATCGATGCACATCCTGTGTGACCCGTCCTTCTTCTTTACAAACAGGATTGGTGCTCCCCACGGAGAGCTGCTCGGACGGATAAACCCTTAGTATAGCAGCTCCTGAAGCTGCGTAGACAGCTCCTGCATCTCAGGCGGAGCTAGTCGGTACGGTGCCTTAGCTATCAGAGCAGCACCCGACACCAAATCAATGTGAAACTCTACCCGCCTCTCCGGAGGCACCCCAGGCAACTCCTCAGGAAAGACATCTCAAAAATCTCGTACAACCGGTACACTGCCCAAATCTATCTTGGTCTCAACCCTCGTATCCGAGATGTATGCCAAAAATCCCGAACAACCCTGATGGAGAAGTCTCCTAGCCCTCGTAGTTGAACATAGTGTTGGCCCCTGCAAGGCCCTCTCCCCATGAATAACCAGTTCTCCCCCACTTGGAGT